GGACTGGCTGGCTCAGGGGCTCAGGGACTGGGATATGGGGCCTTTACTCACTAGTGGGGTGCTGTCTCTGATCAGGTGAGAGCAACCTGTTGGCTCTGTGGGGCTTAGGGGTGCCCACTCCAGTCTGGCCCAGGTTGTGGGGCTGGCTGGCTTGTGGGGCGGCCTTAACGTGACCCATCAGAGCCCTTTAAACCCCCACATGTGCCCCCCCCCGCCAGGAACTGATGCCACATTGACACCCATTCCCCTGCCATGGGGTTGATGCTGAAGCCGCAACACCATCTAGTGGTCATCAGTGGAACTTTCCCTCCAGGCCAAGCAAACTTGTTCTCTTTTTCCCCCCAACAAATATTTCGGCTAACTCCTGTTGGAAGGGGAAGTCCGGGAGCTGATTTCCAGGCACTGAACCATGAAGCCACAGAGATTTGCTGATTTTTTGGGGGGGTGGGGGGTGGAGATAGGGCGGGAGAGGCACTGGGGGTGAATGGAGGGGTACACCCCATGCGTACGCAGATACAGGACCTTGCCCCTCCAGGGGCGCTGGCCCTGATCTGGCCCCAGGGCAGGGGACTGGCTGGGTCTGGGGGCAGGGAATGGGTCAGCGGGGGGGCTTTCCCTTTTATGGGGCGCCAGTTCCAATCTAGACCCAGGGCAGGGGACTGGCTGGCTCTGGGGGCAGGGAATGGGTCAGCGGGGATGTGGGGGGGAGACTTCCAGCCCTAGATCAGGCTTGGCTCCGAGGAGACTATGGGCCTTTCACCTGAAGCACTGACTCCAGTACCGCAGATGGGTGCTGGTGGGTTGAGTCAGCCGAGCTGGGTGTTCCGGCTCAGGTTCGATCCCCGCTGCCCACGCCCCAGCGGAGAGCACGGCCGTGTGTGTGTGTGTGTGTCTGCCCCCAAAGCCCCAGTGTGCCCTATCGAGGTTCCCCCCGCCCCATGCCCCAAGCCCAGCAGTCATGGCCCTGGCATCTCGAGCATGGCTGTGATGGCGTCTGTGACCCTCCACCCCACCCCCGTGACTCCTGGTTAGGAAACACACACACGTGGGCTCCCAGCCCCGGGAAGCCAGGGGAGCGCTGACGTCTCTGCGTCCTGGGACGTGGCCTTGGGCCTGTCGGGGAGCTGAATGCCAGGACAATGCGGCCCCGTTAGCTCTGCCCGGGCACCCAGCCAACCTGGTCCCCCCGCCCCCTCTAGGAGGCGCTAGCAGAGGCAAGCAGCGTGGGCCAGCAATGAAAACGCACTCCGTTACCCAGAGGCTTTTGCGCTGGGATCTTTATTCCCCTGCCCCATAGTGACCCACCGCTGCCACCTGCCAGCCAGTGGCACTCCGCTACCCCACCCCGTGCACCTGCGGGAGGGGGGCATTAACCCGCTGGGCATGGCCTCGCCTGGGGGGGGGGGGCAGAGCCTGTTGTCCAGCCGCTCCCCAGGTGTGCAATGGGCCATGCCCATTAGACGGCTCTTCCCTGGGGCTTTGCTGCGCGTTTGGGGGATGCCCAGTGCACCCCAAGGAACATGAGCACCAGGAGATGCTGCTCCAAAGGACACAGTAATTCAATGACTCTTATACCGCCCGTGTTGCTGGCTCATTCTTGGCAGCACATCTGGGGGCATGGGAAAGGATTCCCCCGTCCCCTGCGTCTGGCTGGGGGCTGCTCCTGACTGGTGCTAGATAACTAATAGCACCACCACTGGCATCTCCAAATGCCCAGGGGGGCCCGTGGCAGGGGAGGGGGTTAACGTGCCCTCCTCAGCCCCAGCTCCCCTCACTGGCAGCTCTGCCGGGTTCCCCTGTGTTTGCATCCCTGGGGAGCAGCCACATTACGTGGCTCCCCCTGCAGGAGACACCTGGAGCTGCCGCCTCCCCCTGGCCTGGAGTACAGAGGGACTCGCGCCCGCCTGCCTCGGGGTACCCGCAGCAGGTGGTGGCCACCCCAGGCACGGCTGGTTCCAGCCCATGGAAGGGATGGAAGGGTTTTCCCACCCCAGGTGACGGGGCTGCCTTTTGCTACCAGCAGGGGCACACAGCGTTTGTCTGGCACTGGGCGAAAGGCCGGGGCGAGGACTGCTGCCGAGTAATCCTGGCCCTGTCCACTGGTACCGCCAGCTTCTCCTCGCACGGCTGGGCCGGCGTCACAGGGGCCCGGCTGTGTCACGGGCCCAGCCCACAAGTGTGCCCTGGCCGGTCCAGAGTCCCAGGCGATTGACGTTGGTTGTGGCTCCCGGGGCAGCATTAACAGGGGCCCAGCACGGGATGGGGGCATAAGAAAGCAGCCCAGGGCACGTGAATGTTTTACCAGGAAAAACATCCATGCAGAGCAATTAACCCCCTAGCTGCCAGAGTGTCTGGGGCACATGAAACCCCATAGGGGGCCTGATCTTTCATGGGGTACAGCACCTCAGACTGGGTTGCATGTAGGGTGACCAGATGTCCTGATTTTATAGGGACAGTCCCGCTATTTGGGGCTTTTTCTTATATAGGCACCTATGCCCCCCCCCCCCCCCCCCGTCCCGATTTTTCACCCTTGCTATCTGGGCAACCTAGTTGCATGTAACACTGTCCTGGGGACTTGAACGTGGGACCTGCTGTGCTAAATGCATCAGCTCTTTGAGCGGAAGCACCAGGCCTTTAGTAACAGCCTCCTAGCCCCAGGGATCAGGCGTGGCAGGTGAGACCTGGTGGACACGCTGCCCAGTGGGTCAGACAGGGCACTGGACAACCAAGATCGCTGTGCCTAGAGGTGGTGCGTGCAGCTTAGCTCTCCTGCCGCAGTTGCTGGGGGGTTTAAACAAGGGCTTTGCTGTCAGAAGCATCGCTGCGTCTTGTGGTTTTCGTGAGGCCTCGGGCTCCAGGAGTCATGGGAATATGGAAAGAGGTGGAAGGAATCTACTCACCTTGCCAGTGAGCAGCTGAA